TAGTAACTTGTCAAGCCATGAGAAATAAATATAGCATTAGAAATTCCATAGGCGTTCAGTAAAGGAGTGTGCATTTGCCATGCTCACTTCTAATTATGGCTGTGGTTGGAGAAGGTACTTAGAAGTGGTCCTTTTAAAATTTGTATCCCTTTACTGCTTAGCTTACGTCTTTTCAATACTAAAGTGCAAAGCTAATTACTGACGATTTTTGTGGACTTTTGCTCCTTGATGTGGTTTTGTCAGCACTGCAATTCTAAACAGAGCTCATATTTAAATTATTTAATAATAAGGCTTGAGTTAGGAGTCTACTGAGAAGAATAAGAGCAGTTTATGTCTCTCTGAGAAAGCATAAATTATTGCAACACATGCAATCATCTTGAGTTTGCCTTTCCCGTTGACTTCCAAACAAGTGATGCTGCAACAGCAGGGGACATAATACAGGGAGCCAGACTGATGACTTCATATTTATATATGGCCCTCTCTGAAGCCATCTTTTCAGCTGCAGTCAGATACTTTTTAAATTAAAAACAGATTGTTGATCATTAATTTTTCAACATACAGGTTGGCTTAACTGTCAGGCACTGCTATGATTTTGCAAGTGGCAATTCTGACCTTGCCAGATTTGACCCTTTTCATATCAAAATGATAAGTCATTTTCAAACAAAGTAGTTTGCAAAAACCATTTGTATTACTTTTTGACTGGCATACATTGTGAAGTTCTAGTTGATAAACAAAAATCTAAATTCCCCGCCATTTTTTTTCTTCAGTTAAAAGGTCTCCTTTCTTTTAAAGCTTGAAAGAAGTCGCAGTTGAGTTAATTATTTTCACAATATGTAATGGGAAGAATATTATCTGACCCAGCAAGGGTTAGTACCTTGCTTTGTTGGGTTCTTTTAGGAGTTGTGTTTATTCATGTTGTTTTGATTATCATTGAAATTATTTGGGTTCTCTTTGCTGTTTTTTCTGCTTTTCCAAATCTTTGTATTTTCCAACTATATCGGAAGCCTAAAAGACTGAAAAGGCACATTCTATAGTTTGCTGGAAATCTCTCCCAGAAAGCAGCTGGTGTGATTAGCCTGTTATATTTAGTGAACTTGCTGTATTTAACTGATTATCCCATCTATTTTCTACATTTAAATCATCACATTTTAGAAACTTCTCCACTAGTCTCCATTAAAAGAAGAGTATCTGGGCAGAGCTCATATCTTGTCATTTCCCCATCACTAAAATTAAGAAAATGACTGAAAAATAAGTTTGGGGAGGATCATTCATTACAAAAAGAAGCTTCAAAAAGAAGGAGTTTCATATTAACCATTTTATTTACAAGCTAGTAAACATTTTCAAATATAAGCTATCAAAAAAATAATGTTTTATCAGATTTATGGCAGTTTTGTAACACTGGTTCTACTATTTGTGACTTTATTTTTCTCCTTGCTTAAAAAACCAATTCTGTGCTCCTCCTCAAGTAATTCATACTAAATATAATTCATCCCAGTGTGGAAGTCCTTTGTATGGGACTGGCATGCTGGATAACCACAGCATGAGGTCTACACACTTGGTGCATTTCATCAACAGGGAATCCTGCGGATCTCAAACACACTGCTCATCTTTGGGTTGCAGGATTCAGCCTTTAATTTGCAATAAGTGGAACAGGATGGTGTCATTCTTGTCTAAGAAGTGTTTTGAGAATGATGCATACAGCAGAACCTCATTAAAGATCATTAACATGTTACTCTCCAGGCCTATAGGCTGAGGGCAGACGTCACACAAAATTACACACTGTTCTCCCTTTCCAGCCAAGCACACTCTGTGAGCTCTGCAATGAGCTCCTGCATGTAACTCAGACTTTATCTCTTCCATTCAGAAGACTCTGTTCAACATTTCTTCTTCTCCTGGAAGTATTACCATAATTTGCAAACTACCTGTGCTAAGTGATTTGAATAAGTTTAGTTTTATATATTTCAAATATATATGCATGTATGAGATATATATAAATGTTTTGATTTTATAGACACTTAGAGTCTAAGGCTTAACTTCGCTGGGCTCTACCTAAACGTAAAAGACTCTGCCCTCAGGGCTTGATATTCTCTTCATTTTTCTATCACATGCATTGACTTACTTTCTATTGTGCAAGCACACAAAGTTCAGAAGTATGAGAATTACCATGAATTCGCCACCAAACCTCCTCCTTTATTCTCTAAGCCCAGCTGAAATGTCTCTTTGGTAGCCAGAGGCACTTCTCCAGAGGCTCTACTGGGATTGTACACACCTGGTCTCTGTAACCAGTTCTTTTGCTACCAAGACATACTCTTTGGGGCCACTTTCCAGTTCATGGACATATCTCCACCCTGAGCACAGCAAAGTGTCAGTGCTGGGAAATGCAGCTTCTGAAAAACTCATCAAGGAGCTAAAGATGGAGAGGTGAACCAATACCAGTATAAAACTCTGTGAACTGCTTTTGATTTGTCCCGCTTCCCCTTTATTTGGGAAGAAATCTAGATACCAGCCAGATGTTCTAATATTTGAATTAGCAAGGAAACAAAGAAAATGCTGTAGTGCTCCAGTCACAGGCTGTGAGCCTTAGTGGAAATCCCATCTCAATTGTAAGCACAGGAGATGCAGGGGCAGTTGTTGTAACAGGGATGATGGCACTAGGTGGTATTGCCTTCTTGATTTAGTAGATTTGACTCCTACTTTTCACACAATGACCTAAAAGAAATATTATACCCCAGAGTAACTTTGAAATTGTTTGTTTAAATTAACTTTCATTTGGATTTATGCTTAATGAAATCTTCAGAGATGCAGACAGCCCTTCTCTAATGAAATGCTCTATCTTTGAACCAATGAACAGGGTTGCCAAACTGTAAGAATTCCTCTCTAAATGAGTGGGCTTTTATAATGTTACACTTGGGTGGCACAGGCAGAGTGCTCGATGATTAGTTTATGGTCTAGATCATTGTATTTTTATTACACTCATAAAAACTGTGTTTCTCCTCATTTTCGTAATGGCTTCAATGAGCTTCTATACCTTCTAGAGGCACATTAAATCGTTATGTGATGGAAGTACTGATTTAGTGGGGCTAGTTTTAAAGTAAGATGCATGTTTTGAATTCTTATCTTAGTCTGATTGCTGACTGAAAAAGTGAAACTACGTTAGAATGAATGAAATCTGTAACATCTTCCTTACATATAAAGAAGGTTCCCAGCTGTGGCCTGAAATGCAGTACATAAAAGATACGAATGACAAATCTACATCTGTCTGTAAAATGTCTATAATTTTAAAGTATTTTTAAATGGTTTGTGGCATTCTGAGATTTTAACATGATGATGAGGGAATTACAGTATTTTTATTTAAAAAAATCTTTTAAGGAGAAAAAAGAAAACAGATAAGAAAGATTATTTTTTATTCTTAAATTCCACTGTAATTTTCTCCCCACTTCTATCAAAATGATAAATAATCCTATTCTGTGCAAACTCTAGATTCATTTCTCTAAATGATTCTAGGCTGGTTTTAAAAGTTGTTTTAATTATGTTGCAAAATGAAAAAAAGGGAAGAAAAATGTTATTTGTTTTTCTATATGCAAGCTCTTCTTAAAAGAGAAGACAACATCATTATCCATGAATGGGAAACCTTTTTATTTGATACGTAATTAAAAAAAATAATCCTTGAATTGAATGTATCATCTCATCTTTGCACAGTTTAGACAAAGGCCTTTTTTGTTGACAAAATTTACATGTCAATACAGTTGCTTATAAATATTTCTGTGAAATAAACATAACCCTTCACAAAAAGAGCAGTTTACTCTACATTTAGTAATTTTATATGCTAGTAAAAAGACAATGAAAGTTGTATGCAAATATAACATCAATGTACAGCATAATAATAACAGTTTTTAGTAATTATGCTGCTTGGTATTAATTCATAGGAGCCTTTTTGTTCAGCCATGGGCTGTGTTTGGAACAGAGATATGCCAGACCCGAGCATCTCTGCTTGTTTGCTGTTTGTGGAAGACATCCACAAATGCTTTAGTTGAGGATGTGCTGGATTCCTGTATCCTACTCTGTGACTGGTCTAAATTATTAAGGGATCATGCTGGCAGTGAAGATACTCTGTTTTCCTCTGTTCCTGCAGTACTTGTGCTCTGTGAGAGCAGCAGCAGTTGGACTTTCCTTCTATCTCCAGAAAAAAAAAAAGGAAAGTAAAAGGAGAAAAGAGAACTAGAAAAGAGAAAGGGCAAGGAGAGAGAACAAAAAAAAATAAGGAAAGGAAAATAAAATATAAACAAGAAAAAGACAGAGAAAAGGGAAAAGAGAAAGGAAAAGAAAGAAAAAGGAAGAAAGAAAATAAAGGAAAAAATGAAGGAAAGAGAAAGTAATGCATGTTTGCAACAAATTTTTTATAAATGTGCATTTGGAGGGATGATTTATTCCTCTGAAACATTTCTGGAAGAATAGATTTCGTTTGGGTTTTTCCTGTCTTTTCTTCATTATTTTTGTTCAGGTGCAACTTTTATGGTTGTTTCAGTAATGCAGCACTTTAATGACTTTTGCTACTTGGCAAACTGAGAAAAGGCACAGGGCTGAGAACAGAAACAAGTTTCAGTGTGTGTGACTTCAGTAGGTCCGTGCTGCTTTAGTGTTAAATATCAAATCTTAAATAGCTGGGTGTTCTGCTAGCATCATTCAGTTTTCCTTTAGTGGATCTAAAAGTTTGACAGAAAAGCAGCTGAACACAGTACCAGGAGCAAGGAGAGATTTTGTGGATGACCCGAACTGAATTTGCGGGAAATTCTTTAATATTTCATGGACGCCTGCAAAATATGGTGCCAGTTTATTCGGGGATTTGAAAGCAGCTGCAGAGTAAAAGTGTCTAATGAAAATGAAATAAATTTCCTGTGAATGGAATAAATTTTGATTGTGTGTCTGAGTGCAGTAATTATACATGTCACGCAGTAATTAGGCAGTCACAATGTGGCCACGGTGTCTTTCTTTGTCTGCAGATGGTCTGGGAGAACGGCTGTGTCGTTATTGTCATGCTGACACCCCTCGTGGAAAACGGAGTCAAACAGTGCTACCACTATTGGCCAGACGAAGGGTCAAACCTCTACCACATCTATGAGGTACCTACACAAAATATCTGGTTGCAAACGTGACAGTAAGTGCACGGGTTGGTTTCACACGGGGCGAAACGGTGTTGAAACCGATCTAACTTGGAGGTCGAGCTGAGGGCTCTTAGACACGCTTGGTGTGCCTTCGAGTGCTTTCAGATTTGCAAAAAGCTGGCGTGCAGCTTTCATAGCCAGGTAGTTTCCATCGAATAAAATATAGGAAATAGTGAGTCAAATATTACAATTTTAATAAGGGCGGTAATTTTGCTTTTCAAATGGTTTTGCAAGTGGTTGATATATGAGAGCGTGTGTTTATATTTTATAGGAAAATAGTATTTTTAGAACTAGTGAATTTTGCCTTAGGAAAGACATATGTATATCTTTGCAGAAAAGCCTCTATATTGCTGTAGTAATTAATCCTATCTATTTTTACCTCTTGTCTCAGTCACAACAACAAATATATATTTTTATTTTCCGCTCTGCATTTCTAGCCCAAAATATCATATCAACAGTTTTCTTGCTATGTAACATTGACAACGGCTGTCAGATTTTTCCAGTTGTCCAGCTGTGTAGAGGAAGAAAATAACACCACAATGCCAAATACGAAGAAATGGGGAGATATTGTGAAGAAATATTGTTATTTAAGCTAAAATGCGAACAAACTCATTGCCTGAAAAGATGAGCTCTGCAAAGAAGCTGCATTTTTTAATGCTTATTTTTCTTCATAGCAAAGAAACCAAATTTTCACTTCTCATATGAGTTCAACTCAGATTCTTAAGACCTCCAAGAGTGTCCTGGGCAATGCACTTGTGGGCAATTCCAGATAGAAAGCAATTGCCAGTCTAGGACATTTTCAGTACAAATGACCTTTTGTATTCACATAATGTTATAAACTTAGTGAATTTTCTTTTGCATTAAAATTGTCAAGATTTTTCTTATGTTTTCAGTACAATAGCAGAGGCAGCTAACCCCTTTCTGACAACTACACTGATTACTATATCAGTTTTATTTTTTCTCCCCAGTACTGGCCAATTTGCTAATAAAAATAAAATTTTCATGCATTTCCTTCATCCCAGACCTCTTACACCTGCAATCCTGAAGACGTGACTTGCAACCAAAATTGCTGATCTCTATTTGTTCCTTCCCGTGGGTGTAGGTAAATCTTGTCTCTGAGCACATCTGGTGTGAGGATTTCCTCGTGAGGAGCTTCTACCTGAAGAACCTGCAGACAAACGAGACACGCACAGTGACACAGTTCCACTTCCTTAGCTGGAACAATCAGAGGGTTCCTGCTTCCACGAGATCACTTCTGGATTTCCGCAGGTAAAGCACAAAGTATGACTCTTTGTTTAAGATGATACTGGTCTGAGGAACTAGACTAGTGCTTTTATTTGTCCTTTAAAGATTTTTGTTTTGAAAGGGGGTTCCTCAGCCTGTGATGTCACAATGCTAAACTAACACAAATATCTGCAATAGGTTGATGTTTAGTGTTGTTTCACACAGAGATGTTTCCTGGTTTTAAGACATACTCATTTCCCGTTCAGAGATCAATACCTTTCCTCCTTTTGTACAGTTCTTCAGTGCTGCTTCTGTAATTCTTTGTTTTTCAAGAATTTATCCATTCTGAAATTTCCAGGCTTTTTGTGTGGCTCCTCTAAGATCCTTATTTCAGGACTCTCACAAATAAATTAGGAAGTATGAGCATACTTGGAAAAAAGAATCACAATGGAGTCATATGGCGATAACATCATTCCCATGGGAGCATTTGCTCATAAGGATCCAACAGTGAGGTCTGTAGACCTTTGGCTACAGGAAGGTGAAAATTTGAGAAAGCAGACGAAAATGTTGACAAAGCATACCCTCTGGAATTTTAAAGAAAGTCCATGTGGCTTTAAAATACAAATACACAAAGGCAAAAACCTGTGAAAGTCCTTGCCACCTTCTCTAACGTTTGCTGTGTCTATCTAAATTTTAATTTGAAAATTAAAGCCATGCATGATAAATACTGGAGCGAAATAATCTTCATTTGATTGCAAACCGTGCCCAGTGCATCATGTGTAGGTGTTAGCGTGTATCAGCTAATCCACAGTGATGCGCTTATGACTAATGAAAAGAATCTCCGAGAGGTTTGGGGAGTTGGTTCTCAATCCACAAGCGGCCTGTGGGATCGCGTGTTGTTCTCTCTGCACTACAATATTATCTACAACCCCCCGAAGTGATTATAAGGGGCTCAGCGCTCAAAAGGTCCAAACTTGTTTCTTTCAATAAGTGCTGGAAGCTCTGACTGACGCCAGTGGAAGTTGTGCAGTCTGCACCCGAGGGGAGAAGCTGGCATGTATCCAACAGGAGCTGTTTGCACAGTTGTCTGTTGGCAAAATTTTACCCTTAAAAATTTGGGACTTAATGCCGCCCTTCATCCATTCAGTATTCTTGTACATCTTGCAAGGCTTTTCAGAGCACAGAGTCATCTCACACGGTGCAGGTCGGGTAACACAGTACAGCTGCTGTGAGTCACTTGGGGCTGTGACCAGGTGAGAATGTGAGGATCTGCTACAGGCCCAACACAAAAGCAATAGTGGAGAAAGGAAGCGTAGGATGGAGTTGAAATTGTAAATTGAATTTTCAAGGTCTTCTTCTCTGGGTTCAACTTGAATATGATTTTTATAGGTTGATTTCCCTTTGCTTGTGGTACTGAGGAAGTTGCCTGTAGTGAATTTCTGCGCTGAAAATTCTGAGTCGGTTCCATTAAGCTGTGTGAGGTGCAGCACAGAGCCAATGCAGCGGCCGACTTCGCTCTTTTTAAAGTTAGTGGGAAATCTGGTAGCAATTCTAACTAGAGTACAAATGAGCCTGTACAGCCAGGACATCTGAAGTCTGGAGTGCCTCAGCCCTGACTTGCTTCAGTAAGGATTGAGGTCCCTGCATGAGCTGCAGGATTAGATCTACAGTAAGTCACAGTTCACATCGCCAAGAAAGCGCTTCTTAGGGTGACATTGTGTAAGGGTTAAATAGCCGAGCTGAAGAAGTGTTGTGCAATACTTTGAAAAAGAAAAATGATAACTAGATGAGAAAAGTAGTGGAGCTGCCACTCTTTGTATTTAAAGCCAGTATGGGAATGAACCTGTTAAGATTTAATTGAATTCTGAGTGTTCATTTCACATGTATTCACAGTCCAGCGTAGGGGACTGTAATCATTTGCTACGTGCAGATTTTGTACAATGAACTCATAGTGCTGAATGCATAGTAAAATTCCGCCTGAAAAGGAATTTTGGCATGCAAAATAGCTGGTCTATGAATCTCAGTTTTCTTGGTCATCTGATCTTTTGTTTTTCTTTTTCTTTCTTTTTGTTTTTTGTTTTTTTTAATGACAAAAAACCTAATGCACTATTGCTAAAATAATGTATTTGGAATTCATTTATACAATACATGTTTTGCACCTGAAGCTTTCTATTTAAAGTACAAACTCCGCTGGATTACAACAGCTGAGTCATAAAGCCCCCAGAACAAATGCCTGACAGTGCTACCATACTCTTAGTAGGGTAGTGCTAGGAGGGGACTACTCTCATTTCTTTTAATCTTATCTATGTTTTTATGTGCATTCAGTGTGTTTGTATATATATATGGATATGTGTGTATATTTATATATTCACATACATATATGAAATTAAGCATATACATAACCAACCCTCTATTTTTTATAATTCATCACCAAGAAAAATTGGATTCCCAAAATTACCTTGCCCAGAGTCTGTCTGTGGAAATATGGACCTTAAAATTTTTATTGAAGTAAATTTTCCTAGTCTCTTTGAAAACTGAAAGCTTACATTTCTCTTACTATGTATCAGACAGTGATTTAGATGATTTTGCATCTAGAAGATACATTAAACCTTGCTGAATAATCTATCATACTGTCATAATGTAGGTATAAATTGCCAAAAAGAGATTATTCTATATATTTCACAAATCTATACAAAAGACAGTCCCTGAGAGGTGAGGCTACTACGGAAAACACTGGTCAGTTTTAAATGCTTCTGGAGTCCTAATTTCATTTTGAACAATAGACCAATCATTATTGCTCTGGACTAGCTTGTTAGTCATGCACTGATATGTGTCATTAAATATTTCTTGAGCCCAGAGGGAGCACATTTACACTTTAAAGAGGGACTGCTAAGCTAAAAGATAATTAGCATCAGATGTGAGGGCTTTGCTTAAAATATATATCTATTATGCTATCACTTCTCGCTGTGTGCAATGGCATTTACTAACACTGCTCACTTTAAAAATGGACAAATTCTTATTTTGCCAGCTAATTAGCGGTTGCCAGTGTCATTTTTGTGATGTTGCAGCTAGTAATATGAGCCCAGTTGCATAGTCACAAAAGTGATCATTGGAAACTGTGACTCTGCTGCAGGGACAATGTGGGAAACCCCTTTTCTGAGCCTCTAACGACCTCTGACCTTTGCTTGCTGATGGTTTGCATGATGATTTCTTTTTCACTCAATGAGCCAAGGGTTGGTTTGTATTACTAATCATTCTTTCTAAGTTAATTCTTCCTGTATATGTATATATATATATATATAATATATATTTTCTTCAACATTCAAGAACTTTGCTTACTGATGAATTTTCAGCTCACTCTCATTAGCCAGAATTAAGAATGAAATGAGATGTTGCTGCATTTCTAAATATTTTCATAAACTATATATAGACAAAGCTCTGAACCAGCTGGATTGAAACCCTTTGTTTTAATGTGTTTTCTGAAATGTGTGATAATGAAAATGTTTGAAACGCCTTCAATAAAACTGACAAACATAAGGTGTCTTTCCCTAACATGTGTCTCTGGCTGTCTGATTTACTGAGAGGTCTGATAGATTTAGATCAAGTTTGTCATTGAAATTATATTAGGACTTTGGTAGATGGCTAGTCACAACATGCAAATATCATATTAGTGGGACCATGCAAGGAACAAAGGAACCACACAAGCAGAAAGAAAAATGGTAAATACCCCTCTGTAGTGATTAGCTTTTATTTAATACTTCAAATGCAAAAACAACTCTTTGCTAATACACATGATGGGGATGGGGGGAGGATGACCAGCTGCACATCAGGAAATGCAGGCTGATTGTATCACGTGTCTGTAAAGACATTTCAAATATAACTTATTGTACAATACAAAAATAAATATCAGGCTTTATATCATATAGAAGCAGCTGATCCTCAGATATGTCCATCAAGAATTGAATGATTCATTCATGTGTAAAGTCTGCTGCAGCTTAAGTCACTGAGGTTTTGCTTGGTACTGCCTGTGTATATATGTATTTATGGACCTATAAATGGTCCATTTAACTTCTGAAGTCAAGTGCTCCTCAATGACTTACCACTTATTTCACACAACATTGTTCTACTGCATTAATTACTTACATCCAGGGCATATAAATAGAGACAGGATGTCTCTGCAAGTATGATTTACATAAGTAACCAAGAGAGTAAGAATTGTGAAAAACTCCTGAATTCAAATGTTTAAAGGGAATAATTACAAGAACTTAATATTGTTTTCAAGTTTGGTTAGAATATTAAATAACAAAAAGCAGAATGGGAAAACATAGTTTCATGGGATATCACCAACACCTTCATAGCCTGTTTGGGTTGAGTTCCAGGTATCCCAACACCCTGTCAGAAGTTTAGGCATCCTCAGGCTATACTGTAAGCAATGTTTAAAGATATATGCATGTTTTCACAGCACAGATGTTGGTGAATAGTTGAACAGCCAAGAACTAAATGATTCAGTAGGTTAGTTATGCTTTAAAATTCATAATAACATCATACCACTGTTGCCAAATTTCAGCAGCTCAGTTCAGTTTAGCCATCAGGATCCTGTGTGACACTTGCACTGAGATGGGAACTATTGAAGGGTCTGGACACCCCTTGAAAGCTGCCCTATGAAATGGTTTTATAGGAGACCTTCTAGCTCCAGTAAACTCAAACACCTCATCAAATAATTTGAATGGAAGGTTTTGATTTCCTGAAGCAATGCTTTCCCATTTTAGTCTTTATTCATCTTGCCTTGTTAACATATGTGTGCATATTTTATGGGTTTTTGGGCCTGTAACATACTTGACATGCAAAATATATCCTAGAGCGAAAGAGAGGGCTTGGGATTTGGGGTTTTGTAAGGCAATTTAAATGGAATTAAACCAATTTTGTGGGCTCTGTTCTTAGACTAAGTGTCTCGGTTTGCTTGAGCACTAGTTAATTCTTTCATTGAGTTTACATATCAGCAGACCTATTCTATGACTGTACTTTTATTGATTGATTTCACATATATCCTCTTGCCACTGAGACTGTTTAACCAGGAAGCTGTTGAAAACAACAATATTTAAATATAAAATGTATAAGACTTTTGAAGTAGAACCAAAGCAGTAAAGCTTACTGATGGATTTAGTTATTTTTACTACAATGCATTACATTTTAGAATTTTTAAGAAGCCTTTCAGGAGATTTGGTATTTGCCTTTCTGGGAAGAAGTAGTGTTACAAATCAGCACACATTGTACAAAGAGTACTGGATTAGCCATTTTTAATTTTGTATTCAGTTTGATGCCCCTTGATATTTCTTTGAGCAAGCTCATGAACCCAGAGTTTGCTTTAAAATTAAAGCATCTCAAGGTAATCTTAATTTTGGAGATACATGAACCTTTTGAGAAAATAGTTCATTTATTTTGCCCAGACAACAGTAATAATGGGATGTTTTCTGGGATTTCTACAGCAGCAAAGCAGAAGTAAACTTTAAACAAGATTATGTACCTAACAACTGCTCGTTATATTAAGAAATTATCATCCTGAGTATTTCTTTAAAGACAGCAATATTTGCATTTTCTTATTGCTTATTTTTGACAGTTGGCTAAAGAAAAAGTTATAATGTGCTTAATTAATTTTTTGTGTCTGTTTTATTTCAGAAAAGTAAACAAGTGCTACAGGGGTCGCTCTTGTCCAGTAGTTGTTCATTGCAGGCAAGTACAATTTCTAAAATAGCTTTAGAGAGATCTATATGTGTTAGAATTTAATATAGATATAAGTTAAGTGGGCAAGTTAAAGCTTTAGATTAATCACTAAACAGATAGTGAGGTAAGCTGAAGGTATTAAGTTGAATTCAACTGGGTTTTAATGCTAACTAATACTTAGGATCTGTTTTCATAATAAAATTATCCTTTCATATGATTTTGTAGACATCGAGCTGTGACTTAACAATGTATGGTCAGACTTTCCAGTATAAGTAGCACTTCAATTTCATATATCTTCAAAATTATGGAGGTTTTTTGCATTCCCTCCCAATTTAGCCTTATTTTATTAACAGATAGTTATGTTTTATTTCTTCTTTGCTTGCTTTTAGAGATCATGGTAAGAGGGCAGTGTCAGGGAGTGGAAAACTGCCTGAGTAATCCTTTAATCACAGGTTATTTTTAGGCCTGACAATCTGATAGATGCACACGAAGGCTGTCAGGCAGGTCAATGGAAAACTTTACTATAATGTTGTGGTTTGCCATTGGAGGTTCTGAGTTGTAAGGAGAATGCTGCACTACTTATCAAAAATATCCTTGTAGATAATGAAGGTAGAAAACCCGCCCTGCTAAGAGGCAGGATGTTTGCCATGTGGCACTCCACTTTGGGTGGTACTGAGGAGGGAGGGGATGTGTTTCTCACCTGGTTCAGCTGAGTCACCTTCCACTGGATGCAAGGAGGCCTCAGCAGAGGTGAATGCTCCAGAGGAGGCTTGTTTGCATTGCCTTCAGGAAACCTGAGATAATAAATATCTGAACCAGAATGAAGAGCCTTCAAGTTTCTCGTTGTTTCCTTACTACAGTGGATGGAACTATGTACCATCAGCTCATCAGTTTTTGTTTTTATTGATCCTGATCGCTGCCTTGTCTCTCATTATTCAGCTTAAGTAATAAGATTGTGTCTTTATTCCCTTCATAGACAGAGAAAAAAAATTATTACCTCCTTTTCTCTAAACAGCGATCTAATAACTGGAAGAAAAAAAAAAAAAACTCGTTCTACAGAGACTTAACAAAAATTAAGTTTCATAGTCTGCCTGTAAACAGAATGCAATAATGCACTTCATGCTGTTCTATTATTTTTCTTTCGTTAATTCTTGTACACAAATTGAGCTATCAATAAAAATAATGGCTTAATTAATAAAACTACATACCAGTCTAATTGGTCACACATGCACCTTTGTAAAAATTTTGGGGAGGGAAGGAAAAAAGCTTTTGCTTAAAGTCTTAATTATGTTTGCTAACAGCATCACACTGGCAATTACATGTTGCTCTCTGAAAGGGACAGAAGCTGCATTCAGATTAGGGCACTTTCTCCCTCATGAGGCTCAATCTCACATCTCTGAGGAAGGGCTGTTGATACATAAAAGTTAAAGCTGTTTCTTAGGAATTACATTATAATGTTTTTTCTGGTCGTTGCAACCAAGGAAGAATTAAAGGGAAAGGTAAAAATAAAAAAACAAACCACTTATGATGTATAGTGAGGAAAGACTGCAGTCCCTCCATAACCAAATATTTTAGTTCTTGAACAGGTCTCTGCATTCCCTCTGAACACTGTGTTCAAATGCATTTTTGACTGTTCTGGTTAATGTTCTGGTCTCACTTATTCTGTGATTTTTGATCTCAACTGACTGTGAGGTCATTGAAGAGAAATGGTATCCTAGTTTAGGGTTAGTGACTTTTCGACTGTTGTTTAAAATGTTTTTCTCACATAAACACAACTTGGCTTAAAAAATCAAAGCGAAGGCCCATTATCCATGCAGGCTAGTGGTTAATCTTCCACAGCCAGCTTGTGTTAATTCAGTTCAAGCTTTCTCTGCTTTCTCAGTACCCTACCTTAACCCCTCATTCTCTCCTCTCCCCCATGTATAACAGTATATAACATTAAAGGCAGGTACCTTCACGTTGAATCTAGATTCACATTGATAGGCTTTATTTTTTCTTTTTCCTTTTCTGTTGGCAGCGATGGTGCAGGAAGAAGTGGAACCTACATTCTAATTGACATGGTTCTCAATAAAATGGCCAAAGGTGAGAATCGAAAGGCTTGTTACTTCCTCAGTACTGAAAAATGTGCTTGTGTTGCCATGACAACAGTGGGGGAGCAATAGTCACAGAAAATCTGAGAATAAATTAGAGGCAAATTGTACTCTTTCCTGAATGTTCTATAGTTTTATTTTCATAACAATTTTAAACAGCAAACCCTAACGCAAATGCTTTGTGAATGAGCAGGTGTGTTTGTGCTGTTGAAAAGTATTTGAATTTTTAAATTTATCATTTAAAATAGGACTACTGTTTTTAGAATTAGAAGCCTCGGGTCTGTACAGTTCTGGTTTAGTGGTTCCATGGGTTAGGTCCTGGGCTGGTCATGACTTGCTCAGTCCCCTGTCACCTATCCAGCCACGATGGTCAGTTGTGATCACTTTGCTTTTTGTAGCTGCCCTTTGCCACCAAAGGACCTAAAAGTGCTGGTGCCAGACAGGGCCTCATGTGCTGCACAAATTTGTCTCTTAGAAGGAAAAAGACTGTAGTGAACAGGAACAGGGGACTGAAAATAAATCAGTTAATTCTCTGTTTCAAGTTCTGGCACTATCTGTTTGATGCTGAACATTGTATTTAACTTTTCTGTTTCTTAGTGTGCTTATCTGTGATATGTAATTTTATGAAGTGGGAAATCGTCTGCCAACATAAACATAAACTGTTGTTTGTTTAAAATGAAGTCTATAGATCTCTAGAGATTGAGACTGTTCCTTTATTTTTTCTTGATTGGTAAATGGTTCATGATGGGAAGTACTTAAGATACCCTGAAATAATTTTTGATAGAATTAAAGAAATTTTTAATACTGATACTGTCTTCAAAAGGATGGAAGGTGAAAGCAGGCATGTAAACCTGACAAAAAATATACAAAAATAGTAATTTACCTTTACTGACTCTCAACATGAATTCTTAAGCCACCTTGATCCAGCATTATGCACATCTGTGTATTTAATGAAAAAGGATTAGTTCTAAAAACATATTAATTTATATAGAGAAACAATAATATTTAGATCTTTGAGTTCTAGTCACTTTACAGTTGTTGTTTAAAATCTTCTAACACAGACATATTTTTATATGTAGTTTAAAAATACACTCCATGCTTTACAGTCATCTGCTGTTGCATCCTGAATATTCCAGTCCTCTGGGACATGGTGGCATCCTGTCCCTTTAGAAAGAAGATTTTAGCATTTTTTTCCTCTCTGGATTCTGTTAACATGTCTCGTCAAACATGGACTGAATTTTCTGCCTGCGAGCATCATGTGGAACTTGCTGCTGATGCTAAAAGAAGTTGTATGTTTGCCTTCTCCTTTGCACCGTACTGAAAATAAATTTTTCAGTGGGATGAGATTAGTTTTTCTTGCTCATTGGAAAATAGGTTTTTGGTCTGTGAAGGAATATGAAGATATTTCCAATGCTCGTTACATGCCACGTGACAACCTAGACTTTAAAAATAGAAGCAATGGTACATCGTAAAATTAATGCAGACCTTTGTTAAGTGTTTGTTCAGCTCATTTCAGTCATCACCAGTGAGAAGCCATAGTGAAAACTAGATTTAAAGTATATGCAATTTATTGGCGTAAAGAAGTAAATGAGAAGTATTTTCTAGCTCGGGGCTTTCAGCCACTTAAGGGAGGGTTGACTTTGTTGTAAAAGCACTGAAGAATGCCATTTATTGACTCCATTGTACCATGTAATGTCAAATTCCATTTTAAGTGTGGGCTTAGCGCTTCACAATACCAGACAAGTCATGTGAAACTGGCCAGAGAAAGGCGTCACAGGGCTTTTTGGAGATCGGTCACCCCCATTTTGTTCTTGACCTGCTCCCCTCTGCCCGTGGGGGTGTGCGACGTGAAATCCCCTGACCTGGTGCTTTGGCTGGAGTTTAAATGAAAGATCAAAGGGCAGAGCGGGCATCTCAGCCCTGCTGAGGTGGGCCTTTCCCAGGCTGTCACACTGTGCGGCCGCCAAAGGTTTTGTTCGGGCGGGAGCCGCGGCCCAGCCTGTGCGGCCGGGGCCCTCTTTGTCTGGCCTGAGAAGCTGGAGGCCCAGGTTGAGGATCCAATGTTCATCAAATGATCAAAGGCCTGAAGCCCTGGACATGAAATCTTTCTTTCCATTTCCTTTTCTTAGAGAATGAATTGCACGAGTGGCAAAGAATACCCTTTCCAAAGCTTTTATGTGCAGTGCGAGGGCTAACTTCAGAGTCCTTCAGCGCTGAACATAAAAATGTAAGTGCACTTTCAATCTGGGCCCAGCTGCAGGGCCAGCATCGAGGAACCCTTCTTTCAAAAAGGCTTTTAAGGATTAAGGCCTTCAGTCTTTCAAAAAAAAAAAAAAAACCAACCAAAAAAAACCCCTACACTACGGACTTTTAAGAATAAACTTAGAATAATTTGAGTTTCTTGTTCCACTGTCTGGTTTATTAGAAAGTAGACAACAATGCATTTTTAAATCAAAGTAAATAGAGGAGTACTTAGTTTCAGCAGTGGGAAAGTAGAAAGCAATCAATAAATGCCTTGGCTCTTTAGTGGGGTCTTTAATAGGGTAGGTTGGGAAAAGGAGCTCCTTTTTCATGTAATGATTTACTTCCCTGCATTCTGTTAGACAGTTAACTGTAAATGCCTTTGTCATTTACAATTTCTTCTACTGCTCATTGAATTAGTGCTAACACTTACTCTGTTAAGCACATAAATTCATATCTTCTACTACCTTGCTTTTTGCCACCCCTTATATTATTTAAAATGCTGAAAGCCACCAGCAAGGGACTTGATCATAAAGCCTAAAGCAGGTGAAAAGAAATCAAGTTGGAGAAGATTTTGTGCTAGACATCTGCCATGTCAGTTGGACAGCCCCAACTTCTTTGAGGAAGGGAATTTTAAGGAATGAAATTTTAAAAAATCAAAGTGTCTTGGTCTAGGACACTTACAGAATGGTAAAAGTTGGTGCCAATGGCAGAAATGCCCCTGTGGTGTACTTAGGGGGGATTGAGCTGATGGGAGGACATGCAGGAGCTCACAGGAGCACTGGGATGGATTTTCTATGGGGGCAGGTTCTTAATGAATTTCACTTTCCTGAATGCAGTAAATGCAATGACTGCATCTGTGCACTGACTCCAAACAGCCACATTAAATAATCTTCTTAGATACTGGAATGGTCAGAGAGCAGTGATGTCTATCCAGTGCTACCATTCCTGTGTCATGTCAGCAGAAATTCTTAAAGGCAAAATGTATCCTTCTGTTCAGTTGTACCAATAATTAAAGCTGCTATTTATTGTATAGTTTATTACTATCATGTTTTTCTTCCTAGATTCATTCATATGCTGTTGCCTAGAAAGTTTGGACAATTGATCCTTGACGTCCCATTTGAACCTGGTGTTCTATGATTCTTTGATTCTGTGATATGCAGAGTAGTTACAAGACCCTGATCTTATACCCATCAAACTAATAACAAAAACTAAACAGTACTGAATCTGACCTTACCGTAACATATTTAAATACTATTTAGCATGTTTTAACTATGATATCTATTTAACTATGATAGCTCCTTGTACACAGTTACAGTTTTAAGACAGTTAACAAATCACCTCTCACTTCCATGACAAACTGCTTTAGTACAAGCTTTGGTTTTGAGTTAGAAGATGAGAAGTGACTTAGTTCAAACCATGTGCATTTTCATGATTTAAATAAATAGAGAAAATGATAATGGATTGTTTCTGTAGATAACAATGCTTGCTGGATTTTTGATAAAGACTGTTTTTCTGAGGCTGATTTCTGCTGAGAATTTCAATGTTCTTGATGTATTTACAAGTTTTATCCTTTGTTACTAGTGAAGATAAGCTGATTTAGATTTAGTCTGCTTGATATTCCTTCCTCACCCCAAACTCACAGTAACTCTGAGCTGATCAGGTTTTTTTTTCTTTTTGTGTGATCTAGAGAAAAGTCGAGAATTTTCTCATTTCATGTCTTTCCCGCAGGCTTATTGTAGTGACTAAAAGTGTGATATATTGCAAGACATTTTTATTGAGTTTTTCTGGCACCAAAAAAAAAAAAGAGAAAAAAAAAAGGAAAGGAAAAAAAAAAGAAAGAAATGAGATTATGAGTCTTCCCACTTTCATTTTTCTGAACTGAGAGGTTTGGATAGTGTAGATAATAGTTTGATTTTTAGATATTAATCCAGTCAGCAGCTGCTTAGGGTTTGCTGACCATCCATTTTCTTGTGTTTGAACTAGCTGGAACGAGATGAGTCAAAGGAAAGGCAAATATGAATTTTAAAATCCTTTTAAAGTATTGATTTCCAAATTCTAAAACCCAGCAAAAAGATTTGATTTAGCAAAGCCAAACCCACAGTTTATTCTCTTGTATTCAAAAGCTTGGATTATAATTGATGAGCACACACTCTCTAGCCTGGGCTGGCTGTTGAGGTTATCTCCCCAAGTCCTTTCCTTGCCCCTGCTACCCTATTGTCTGAGGGTCTTGTGAGTCAGCTCCTGAGCAGATGCAGTTTATACCGTGACATTTTAAGGCAAAACAAAAGATTCCTTAATTCGCCTTCTGACTCATCGTGATCAAATGATTTGGGCTAATCTGAACCCTTGCTGAGGTTTTGCTTATCTGCTGTGTGGATTTAACAATCATAATGAAGTTGTGGGGTTAGCTCCTCTCTGAAAGGATCTTATGAAAGGAAATGCTTGCCCATACTCGTGTTAAGATGGATTCAATCTGCTTATTTTTGAGTCCTTATACAAAGTCTGAGAAAATTCTATTGTTCAGTTGTGCAGATACAAGTCCAGAGCTGACTGTTTCTGACATGCTTTTGGTGAAGAGGGAATATTTTTTCAGCCTAGCATCCAGGTACCCCCATGAAAATAAAATTTAACATACTACATGTCATACAGTGGTTAGGAGAATATATGGTGTAAAAGAGAGATTACCTTTTTTTAAAGGTATCTAATGTTAAGAGGACAAAACATGGGATTAGAAATAGGTGGTATTCT